TCAAGAAAGAATTTTATTATGTCCCGAAACTCTAAAGTGTAGAGCCTAATTTTCAAAAACCTATAATTTCAATCAAAGTGAAAAACAAGGAGTCCCTATTAGTGTAAAATAAAAATGAACAATCGATTGTTTCTACTTCGAACAGAGTACTCGAGAATTTATTGCACTGGTGATTATGCGAGAATATCGAAAGGAGTGATCGTATACGAAGGACGCATGGATTCACAAATTAAAGTTAGAGGGCATCGTGTGGATCTCACGGAAGTGGAGAAAGCAGTATCCAGAGGACCTGGTGTTAACGAAGTGGTCGTTCTTTGTTACAAACCCGGCGAATTGTCTCAGGTATCATTAATTGTTTCAATATTTTTAATATATATTATTACTATTATATATTATCAATGCCTTAACTATAACGTATCAAATAAAATTACATATTACGATTGTTACATACAATTATATTAAATTTTGAATTAATAATAATATTCAATAATTATAAAATTACATATGTATACATATACTTGATACATTATTCTGTGTGTGTATGTGTGTATGCATATGTACTTGGTACATTAATATGTATATATTGTATAATGTACATGTAACATATATTAATTTATACACATTCATGTATATATATATATATAATGTGTTGAAATTTATATAATTTATATAAATTTATATATATGTACATGTGCATGTATATTTAATTTATATATTATACATGTATGTGCAAGTTATTATGTATGTATATACGATATGCACTTGATATATTATTCTTAATTATATGTAATAATGAATTTTATTTGAAGGCATTGCTTGCTTTTGTAACTATAACGAACGATTCGTCCACCTGCACGTTGGATATCGAGACGTTCCTTCAAGCTACTCTGCCCGTATATATGTTACCACGAATTATCATCATGGACAATATACCTCTTTTAACAAATGGGAAGACCGATCGCCAAACACTATTAAAGCAGTACGAGTCTTCTAATCTCAACAATGGTAACAATACATGTGCCCTCTTAATTATTCACTCACTTCAGGCTGTAAAAATTTCAACAACTCAATCATAACATTTCGAAATTATTGATTTGTCATGATCAAAATATAAGAACGAAATTGGTTCGACAGATTTGTAATTCGTGATTACAGTGATTCACTGCACTATGGTGTTTCATGCATTTTGAAATGCAAAATTTCGAAAAAAGAACAAGTATATAAATTCTATCTTTATTATTAATATTTATTATAAGCTTTCTATGCTTCTAAACTTTTTGATTACACTCTCGAAAAATGTATATCTACATATGGAAAAATATAGTCTGTCAATCATCCATCACATATTTTCGTATTTATCTTCTAGAGAACGAGCAGTGCATGAGCTGCGACTACACCGACGTACCTGAAAAAGACCTCGCGAAGGCGAAAGTTCTGTTTCCGACCGTGGCCTCTGTGATTGGTGCAGGAGGTCGCGCGGACGTCACTGTCAGCGCGAATTTCTACGAGCTGGGCGGGAATTCCTTGAACTCGATTTACACGGTGACGAAGCTACAGGATCAAGGTTACGAGATAGGGATCACAGAATTTATCACGGCGAAGAGTTTGGGCGAGGTGCTCGATCGAATGAAAATCAGCACGGACGACGAGCCTATTGAGAATGGTCTTAACGAAGAAGAACACATCTTTGAGATGTTGAACGATTCTCATAAAGAAGACGTGATCAAGTACGTAAACTGCAAATGTATATTCGAACTTTTCTGATGGGGAATATTATGAGGATAGAGGAGAATATTAAAACTGGAGAGTAAAATGTAATATTTATGAAGCAGAAATTTATGCGCCATACAAATATTCTTTTGTTGACAAAATCTTTAATATAGTTGACAAGACAGTTTAGACTTTTGCATCACGCTAATTATATGTAATTATTATGTAGTAATATAATATACTAATATACAGTTAGTATATTATAATATATTGTTATATTGATCACATTATAATGACTAAACTGTCCTGTTCATCAAAAAAAGGTACTTGCATGGCACAAGTCAATTATAATAAACAGTGACTTATACTAATTACCTCAACCCTTCGTTTAAATAAAATTGTAGAAATGAAATTTATTTGTGATATACACGCTTATAGAATAGGAAAAATGATTTTCGAATAGTTGTCAATTCATTTCAACTACTATGATACAAAAATAATACGTCAGATTATAATAAGTTTGCAATAGAGGAGAAACAATATTTTTTGATCCGCAGAATTATCACAGAAAGTTTCTACAATAAAGCAGATTTAGAGCAGTGGTTGATGCCAGATATAACAAAAGAGGACTACAACACAATGATGGAAATACTTTGGGACCCGTTGGTAGAAAAGGACTTGAGTTTCGTAGTGAAATCGTCGCAAGATGGCAGAACAATCGGCGTTGGTTTGAACTTTGATCTTTGGGACGAGCCCGAGTTAATTCTCGACTCCAAATTGATGATCGTTTTCGAATTTCTGGAATACTTGGAGGCACCCATTAGAGAACGAAAATTGCCAAAAGGAAAGGGTCAAATTATTCACAACTTCATGATGACAACGAGCAGTAATCTAAATCCGGCTGAGAACGTAATCATGATGAAAGAGATGGAAGAATATTGTTTGCAACTGGCTAAGAGGAAGGAGTTCGCGGGAATTTTTACCACAAACACGAGTCCACTGACACAGGTAATAATAATACATGAAATGTATGATTCGTTTATCTTAGAAAATGTTACCATTAATGAAAGAGATACATGTCTTTTATGAGAATAGCACGCGA